CCCCAAAACCCCAAAACCCCAAAACCCCAAAACCCCATAAAAGGTATCCTTTAATGAATTTATAAGAAGGTTTAATAAAAATGAGGTGAAAACTAGAGAAAGAATTTAGCGTCCAATGGAGCCAAGAAAGTAGCACATTTGAACCAATGGACAGACCTAGAGCTGTATCTGTGAACTCACCTCCTTCCTTCTTGTCAAATTTGCATTGTTCCCAGGAAGATATGGTCAGTTCCGATTCAACTAGGTCAAGGTCCGAAGCGAGTTATTTATACGAGTATAATTCCCAAAGCTTGCTCAAGAAGGCCGAATCTATTAAGAAATCTGGAATATTCTGACATGATTCCATGACTATGAACTCACAAGATACTGACAAGTCTCGGAACATTTCTGCTGAAATCTCTTTAAATAAGGTAAAATCAACTGCCCTCCCAGGGGGTTCTACGAGGACCCACCTCCTGCCAAGGAAGGGTAATAAGCCTAATGTAATGAGATATGTTCGTAAGACTTCCGATCTGTTCTCTCCTCTTGAGAAAGTACCTGTATCTTTTTCTCTGCCGGAGAATACCACTTTCTTCAAGGGAGTTCACGAGCTAGAAGGACAGACTTACATTCTGAAGAAAATCAGAATTTTCCTTAAGAACGAAGAAGATATCAAAAATCACTCAGCTTACAAAGAGATATCGCTGATAAAGGACAATTCTCTACCTGTAGATATTAGGTATGTCAACTCTTGGGTGGAGCTTGAGAAAGGAACTTCTTACGAAAATTCTGAAAAGTCCCAAGGGATCTTTGTCAAACTTTGTATCCAGATGAGGTATATTAACAATCCAGTCAAACTTGTGAAGGACTTACTCCTCCTCTCCAAAGCTGCAAACAAGAACTATGATGAAGACATGATCTATGATATGGCTGAGGATATTTGTGCTCAACTTAAGCTTGCCAAGAACCAAAACATCACAAATGTGTGTGAAAAATACTGCTGAAAAGATACATTGAACAAGATGCTGGTGAACCCAGAAACAGCTGAGCTCCAGACATGGAATATTTGATACTATGAACTCTTTAATTTATCATAACTGTTAGCCCATCCTTTATGTCCTTGACTAATTTGTTTTAATTGCCACACTAATAAAATTTAACTGCGTCAAAATAGCCAGGATTTTCCATGAAAATATCTTATAAAAGAATTTTTCGAGAAATTTCCCGACTAGTGATACGGAGATTCATGAGAAAAATATTATAGTTATACTAAGCTACCACACTAATTTATTGATGAAGTTTACCCTTACTGAGACAGTAGATAATTCCTTGGATTAATTAAGCAGAACATGGGAAAACCTTAGTATAGTAGTTCTCTTTGCCCTTGATTAGAGCCTTCACCAATCTGTACTACCTCACCACCGATCGTTTATGACTTGTAAAGGTAAATTTTTAGAAATTTTAACAAATTTTTTTATGTTGTCAGTATGCAAATTTACATTCGTTGTGAACTCCTAATTTGGATTCATGGTTTTGAGCAAATGGTCGTTCAAATGAAGCACTACAGTAAAAATTACAAGGTAGCTTAATTAGCAACCACTATTTGGGGTTTTGGGGTTTTGGGGTTTTGGGGTTTTGGGGTTTTGGGG